TCTGTTCCGCCCAGATTCAGCAACTTGAAGAGAAAAAACTTGGTCGCCCAGATTCAACAGCCTTGCTCTGATACCATCTTGACAATAAATCTGATTGAAATATGAGGAAGTAGAGAAGAGAAGGAAAGAAGAGAAAAAAGAGAAGGAAAAAAGGAAGAAGAAAAAGTTTGGAGCAATAGAACAGTGCTGGTGGCGCCAGCTTTTATTATATTATATAGGGCGACAGAAATAAGAAGGGAAAAGACCCTTGTGCCCCTGCTGTAAGCGAGTACAATAACAGAAATAACAGAAATAAAAAACGCTTTAACTAACCAAACAGACCCTAACACAAATAACTAAATTATTTCAACAAATTATAAGCTTTTACACAATCATCAAATTTTTCATTTTATGGAAAAAAAAAAAAAAAAACATACCAGGTAAAGAAGGGCTGGCTGAGGTGAATGAGTCAATATCCCAGCTGCTAAAGCAGTCACCAACCCAATGGCATATCCTGAAACAGCATACCAAATGTATTTGTACCCTTTGGAAGAAGATATATCCAACACTCCTGCTGAATCTCTGCTCTTTTGATGATCAAAATAGAGGACCAAAGCAAGAAGCATGGCTGGAATAGCCTTCAAAACCAAACAGCGTATATAACTTTTTAGAAATTCTTACCAGAGGCAGAAAGAAAATGCTAAGAAAAAAGCACTTATTCCAAAGTATAGATATTTAACTATTATTTTATCTTCTTCTTTTGGGGGTTCAATTGTTGTCATGATAATATTGATTCATACACATTTGATCCAAATATGCAAACACTGTTATGTTACATTCTGAAATCTGAATAGTAACTGCTTCCCTTTTTCAAGTGACAGCATCTTAACTTGAAACTCAGACAACCAGGAAAAAAGTAGTGTATCAACAAAAAAATTAATTTAATATAGGATAACCCAACAACCTTTTCTACATGCCTATACAACAATAGATTTAAAAAGGAAAAAGGAAAAAGCAATGAAAAGAAAAGAAACAGTGGGTATAAAAATCAATCATCTAAAGACCATCCAATTTCACAAAGCAATCTGCAAAACCAACATTAATGTCTGCAAGTTCTAAATTTTTTATTAGGCACTTAATATTCTTCCTCTACACAAAGTTGGATGCATGCATAGAATAGTTTCTGACCATGGATGTCATGCAGAGAAGTCTACAAATCATAACAAATAATCTGGTATAACAACATAAAAGAAGGCCATTACCTACAGTTGGTCCTAGCTATTTGGTCATGGGAGAGGTGGATGGGGTACAGGACAAACCTTTGACATTTTTTTTTTCAAACAGTGGCTTCTTTCAGACTAGAACCTGTGTTCTCTCTCACGCTTGTCAGCCCAAGATTTTACCATTACACCAAACTGCAAGAAATGGGCCCTCGGAATAACAGCAAAACCACCTCCAAACAGGAAAAAAAACTGCATAATTGTCAGCCTAATAGTTTGTGTTTGTCACTAATAATATAGTGGGCTCATGGTTGATGGCACCTCATACAGGAAGACCTACATATTGAATATTCACAAATGGTACAGCTGAATATTTGTCTTACTATAAATAGTAGCATGGCTGCTCATCAATGGATAACGAGTGTGATCAACTTAACCAGGGGAGATCTCTAGGATGATCCACTGATATTCTAGAGAGCAATAAGTGTCTACTTTTGAGAAAATGAACTACAACCCAAGTAAGATACAAGCAAAGCTATTTACTTTTTCTTCTGCCTTCCTGAAAATTAGTAACTTTGAATCACGAGAAAAGAATCACATTACAATTAGCATCTGTGCTACACAACATTTAGCCAACATATCAACAAAATTGTTTGCTCTCTAATGACTACAAGGAAATGCTACATCGAATGCACCTGTGGTATGATCCAAAACTTAACCAAGTGTTCACAGATTCATCCAAGCTTGAGGCGCATATGGTAAGCACTTGAGGAATCCTTCCTACTAGACATTTACAAGATGGAACAAAATCGTAATAAAAGAAACTTTGCACAGAGAATTGTGCATAGCATAGCCAATAGGTTGGAACCATCCGATGACTATTGTCTACACATTTTCTGAAACATACCCAAACTTCTTTATATTCCTGATCATCCAAAAGGATGAAATTAATCATATAGGTATATTCTTTAATTGTACTAGTATTTTTTATCAAGGATGGCTGGCAGTGAAAGATATCAATTACAGTTAACCTGGCCTATAGATAGAACTTTGTATTCATTTTCCTACAAATTATTTGGCATTAAATGATTCACAAAAATTGCTTGAACTAATACAGAAGAGCATTTTACAAAATTTCAGCATGTCATTACACTGTTATAGCTGTCAACTACAATATTGTTACCCAATTTTGCAAGAAATTGAAGTAGAATCAATTAAGATAAAAAAAATGGCATACCATGTCACCAAGCCCAAGCATCATGAAGTCTGACGAGTTGCCTCCTGGAGCCATCCCACCCAATAAATCCCTGGGAAAGACGATCTTAACTGGCAACTCCAGTTTCTTGGTTATCAACTGCAACCCTGGAAGACTCAAACTATTTGCCACAGTATGAACAGGATTAGAGGCCTGTTGTGTGGCAACCGATACCATTACATTTGCCCCAAAGAACCTCTCAGAGAAGAAAACCCAGAATATATCATACACGAACAAGCAAACGAGGAGAATTGCACATATTTTGATGTTTGGAAGACGGACATGGCTAACAAATGCAATACAAATCGAGATGCCCAGCAAGTTGTTCAATATCCAATGCCCAGAGACCAGCCACGCTGTGACAATTCCTGTGCATACCACTACCAGAATCCCTTGGCTTCGAGTGAACGACTTCGAACAGCACCGAGAAATAAATGGGTCCACCAACCCGAATTGCGTCTTCACATAAGTGATATAAGGGTAAAGGCAAAAGAAGAGGGAAGAGGCCGAAGCTACGGCTGTGAATGCAGTAAGGAGCTGTGATACCGATGAGAACAGATAGAACATCAAAAGCAGGCTACAAGAGCTCAATATGGGTATCATGAGCGCTTGGGACCTATCTAAAGTGATGGACGCCTCCGACAAATCACGGTTTCGTTCCATTTCCTTTCCATAATTCAGAGCTCGAAATGCCGATCCATAGGTCACAGCTACTGCTGTTAAAATTAGAATGACAGGGGCAGGTTCGAGCAAATAGAAGAGCTTCCATAATGATTCCATTAGAAAAATAATTAAATAGACGTTTCTTTTAGATTCGGTCCTTGAATTCGTTCTTCCCCACAGAAATTAACATTCCATGAAAAAGAAAACCCTAGACACAGTGTTCTCGCTACCAAAGCTGCATTATTTCTCTGGTGCTATCTTGACAGAAGTGCATGCATCCTGCAAAATAATGAGCTGAGAAAAAGCAAGAACATATTTAACATGATTGAAGAGATGGCATAAGAACTCATGCAACATCCAAAAGCAACTAAGGACAAGAACTCGTGCAATCTGCAAGCACAATCACCCGAGAAAAAAAAAAAAAAAAACTACGCTAACAGTACATTCATGCATCAACCACTTAAAAGCTACAGGTAAAAGCCAACTTCAACCCAAATATCAACTAAACTATTCAGGCAAGGAGTCTGCAATTTCATCTCTAAAGCCCATTTTCCGTTTAAATATCTAGTTGCCACTTCAAACCAAGCGATCTAGGGCTTCAAATCAAACAAAAATTTTATCTTTTTCCAAAAGAATAGGTTCAATAACGAATGTAAGCGAGAGATACTTTCTTCTTTCAAATGGAGGGAAGACAAACCTTGGACTTGAAAAGCGTTACCTTCCCCCTAAAGGGAATTCACTTGTTTTTAATTTTCACAAGACAGCTAATTACACTGCCTTTATAGACCTTACGGTGAGGACAAATTGACTGGTTTCTCAAAATGGCACGATTCTGCCAACCGCGGCTAGGCCGGTAAGAGTATAACGGCTACTATTAATCAATTTAAGCGGTGTTTGGGAGTGGTTGTTGTATCTAAACGGAATGTCAATCAGGACAGCGAGATTGGATACAAGTTACTAGTCGATTATCAAGAGGAATAATTCCTAGGATAAAAAGAGCCCTCATTTACAGGCTGTTTGATACGTCTTTTTTTAAAGATCTTGTAGTAATTCTGATACTGAAAAGATGTATTGAGCTTTTGTACGAAGATCTGAGCAGCCTAAAGTTAGTTTGGCTATCATGCGTATATTCATGTCTTTTTGCACAAAAATAAAGCAAGAAAGATGCAAAAAAACTCCATTTAAAACTTCCCGAAATCAACCCAAAATAAGTTTCTCGCATCTGAATTGAAGAGTACTGGCATGTGAATTGCTACAATCCATATTAGCAACCCAGGCCTTACCTTGAAGGCAAAGCTTAAAACTATTGTGTATATCAGCAAGAAAACAGTTGCATAACTTGTAGCCTATTCATATGTCAGCATCTGAATTGAAGATGAAGATCTGCTTTATCATTAAAAGTTACCAAAGAAATTTTATTAAGGTTGAAAAAAAGAAGCAACCCTACCATCAAGGTTCAAAATATCGATACGCCCAATATGCTGGTAGGGGCGTATCAGGTGTTTCGATACTTGTTTTTTTACCTTTTTTTTCAAAACTGGTTCAGGGGAGCTGGTCTAAGACCCCTCCATCCCCTGAACCGGTCAGACCCCCAATACACCCACTGTATAGGTGCATCGAAAGGGTCCCGGAACGATATGTATCGGCCGATACGTAACGATACTTTGAACCTTGCCTACCATAAGTAGGGGACAAGTACAGTGCAATACAGAAGATTAATTGATATTATATATATATATATAGCCCTAGCTGTGTGCCAAAAACTTGGAGACCATGGAGTTTAATTTGGGTAAAATCAGTTGAAACAAGATAGTATCTTGTATCTTTTTTCTTTTACTTTTCTCATAATTCAAGATAGAACATTTAATAATTGCTCCTAATGAAAAGTTTGTTTTCCTTACCACCCACATGAAACAAATTAGAAGGGGTGAAAAAGGTATGAAAACAATAACTGAAATATATCAGTCTTGACAAAGTTCAACCTTCATTTTACAGGAAAAAAGGGAACAAAAGCAGCAGCTAAAAGGAAAAAAGGATTGCCTCCTTATCCCACAGATGTGCAACTAGTGGTGAGTAGCAAGTTATATGGGTTTCAGACTGCAACAAAAGCATGAAGCTTTGGCCTGGTCTCTCTCCTTGAAGCTGTCGTTCCTCTACGAAGCATGTATTCTTGTATTTTCTTTAGACATAGCTGAGTCACAAAGCTTACGATTACTGTACTTGAGGAGTGTTGATGCAATATTGGTAAATGTTTGTCAACAACATTGCACTGTAGACTTACTGAATGTGCTCTAGAAAGAGAAAAGAAAGGAAATGAATGAAGAAACAATAATATCCCAATATTCTTTTTTTATATCCTTTGAAGGGCTACACAACGGGGGTAGCCCATCCCCCAACCCATTTATAATTGGATCAAATATGGGTCCGCCCAAATCCAATTTGGTCCAATCTAATCCAATAATGGATAAATACCTATGCTATATTCTATATAAAATTAATATCTATCTATTAGTAAAGTCAGTTTGACTTTTGTATGTTTAAAGTCAAAGGTTCAATTCTAGTATAAGTTAATCTCATATCACTTTATTCGTAATATGCAATTTCAAAGTCATTTTTAATTAATTAATTTATCAATATAATATTCCAATAATTTTAATTTAGTTTACTAATGGTATTATTCAATATCTGAATCCAATACAGGTCTGATCCAAATTCATTGGATAAGATTCAATTCGAATCTAAATATTAACATATCGAATTCGGAAGTAGGTATATCTTATTTGATCCAATCCATTTTCAATGCTAGAAATCAAGGCTAAGATCAAAGTACCTTCAGAGGTTGCACCTTTTTATTGTAGCTCAAAAGACCTTAGGTTGTAAAAAGCTTTATCCTTAACAATCACCCCTCTTCCAACAAGAGCCTAGTTAAGACCATAAGAAATCCCTAGGCTCTCCTTCCTGTGTAAGAAATGTATTAGCAATAAAGCCAGATAAACATGAAAATTAACTACACAACACAATCAGATGAAAATTAATTTGAATTTTATCATTTGTGCCATCAGACAAATATGAAAGTGTTCAGCATGCATCCGTCAGAACATCATCATTTGAATGAATTAGGCACTCCAAAGTTGGGAATGTATGTAGGCTTTGTGTGCAAAAGAAATTTCAAAAATTTAAGAATATAAAAATGCAACCAAAGGAAAAATTGCACATGGTTGCAGCAAAAAAGTCAAACCCCCCACCTGCTCAAAAGGTGGTTGTGGCTTGCCCCTGCAAAAATTCGATAGAGTCCATATGGCATTTCTCAGCATAGAGAGTTTGGCATGATCATTTAACTATGCAAGTAGAGGAATCAATGCTCCATGGCTTAGAACAGACCCAATACATCCATTCATAAATCTTGTAAATCAAAACAAAAAAAAAAAAAAACAACTAAAATCAGCGTCCAATGCGGGTTCAATAAACATGGCTCAGAATCAAATTGAATGAAAAACAAAATGAAATGATCAGGAGAGAAATAGGCAGCATATATACCTCCAAGAGACAACTGTCCGTAAAGAGCAAGAGACTAGGGTTCAGTTGACACAAGGGGAGGAAGTTTTCGTGTAAGCAGGGAGAGTGCTGATAAGGAGAGAGTAACGAAGGTGGGGGAAGGTGAAGGCTACTGATTAGGAAACTATTTTCGTAGAAGCAGAGAGAGGCGCAGAATAGCGACAACCATACGCTACAAAGAAAAGAAGAATAGCATGATAAAAAACTAATAACAAATCAACCGGTATCACAAGTGGCAAGTGGAACCGATCAAACTGATATTAATCAAAATTCAAATTTGGGGATAGAAAGTTCTTCCAATATCGCGGCAACCTTCAGATGAATCCAACAAATACAGGAAAATGTATGAGTAGTGTTTGATCATTTAGGACTAAGAGGTTGAAAGCAAAAGATCATTAAAGGGATAAAACTTCATGGGTGTGAGATCCGAGAAGTTCATGATCGGCTCAAAAGATAGAGTTGCCACCCATTTAATTCAAGAAGAAATGGGTCTTCTATAAATTTTGGAAAGTTGATACATTTTGAAAATAGTAACTTCATCCTCCACTAAAGAGGCACTCACCAAGAGACTCTAAGTCCACTAGGATTGGGAGAGGAAATGTGTCAAGCTTTCAATTTCTCAATTTTTGAATTAATAAAGATGAATGGGGATGTTGTCGGGATTTAGGTACTAATTTTCCCTAAATCCCTCGCCTCTCTCCCTCTAATTCCAAGATTATGTGAAGCTAGCAGGAAAGCTTTTGCAAATTCAGAGTTCTAGTCTATTAATTTGAAATTAAACTAAGTGATTTTTGAAAGGAGACTAATGCAAAACAACTAACCAACAAGGATGAGAAACCACAACGCAGGTTAAGAAACTTACCTATTTGATGTAGCCTTGGACTAAACTTTATAGCAACAATTTCAGAACTTGAGAATGGCGTCCTTTGATATTTCTGAACAAAAGAAGATCGTGCAATAGCTTCTTAATGCGTAGGATTGGAGACTTGTCTTTCTGGGGTGTTTTGTTGGATCCTACTCTGAGATGGAAGTTCTTTCTCAAGTTTCTTGCTGAAATGGTTAGAGGATTCGAGTAGGAGTTCTCTCTTTGGTTTTTCCTCTCAAAAAGTCCTCTCTCGAAGCTCAAAATCTGTCCTATTTATAGAGAAGGGAGGCTGGAGCAAGTTTGAGACAACTTTCCATGTGTTCAAGGCTTCAAACATGCTTAAACATACAAAGAAACACCAAAAACTCAATCTAACATGCTTTTTCAAAAGATTTTTAGGGGTTTAGTTAGTCAATCCGAGGTTCTCATGATTTCCTTTATTTTTCTCATGGCCAATGGTGTTATTTTCAAATTTGTTCATATTAGGCTTGGATGTGATTTGCTAGTATCAGAAAATGTAAATTTAAAGTGGCAATAATGGCCCTTACGTCAATTTCTTGGTTAAGAGGGGTTGGTTTGGGTTTTGGGGGTTCTTTTGGTCTACTTGGCTTATCCTAATGGGCCAGGGTGGATTAAGTAAAGGGATGGCATCAGCCTTTTCTCTCTTTCGTGGCCTTAGGTTGGAACTCATGAAGGGGTGATTTAATCTAATGCATCGAAACAAAATTTTTTGGTTTAACAATCAAACAGGTGAATTATGTCGTGAAAATTGGCGTATTAGGGTTTTTTAGGTCTTTGATCATAGTGGTGAGGTCTAATTGGTTAAATAGGGTCAAGATGATGGGGATCCATTGTTGACAAGTTTGGATTAATGAGACTTTCTAAAGTAGAATCTTTACTCGATGGTTGACAAGTTTGAACATTCATAATTATATTAGAGTGATGGATTTTTTATCAGAGGTTTGGATTAGTTCAGATCAAGGCTTTAAGCATGTTTAAGAATGAGATCTTGCTTATTTCAGAGGGATTTGGAGAAATTTAAGGTTGATATTTGGCATGACTAGTTGTTTAAAGGTTTTGTTTCATGTAATGGAGGATAGGTGTGATGAGGTGGCACAATCATGATTGTTGGAAGGGAATATTGTGTATTTGACAATGGATTTGAGAGCATATGAATCAAGATTTGGTTTCTTGGGGTTTTGACTCGTTCTGGAAAGAAAGATGGGGTTTGATCAGGTATCCAAAGTGCAAGAAGTGGATCAGAGAGGGGACTAAGCAAAAATTGGGTGTTGACAATGGGCTTTATCTTATGTTAATTATTATCCTTGGGCTTCTTCATAGGGCGGCTGAAACAAGGGATGCAAATGGATTGGATTGAATTAGGGTATATTCGAATATGATCTGATACACTATAGATCCGATCCAATCGGCTCTAATAAAT